TAAAGGTAGAGCTTCAGCAATAGCATTTTCATCAGCAGAATTTGCCTCTCCATGAAACTTTACTTGACGAATACTGTTACGCTCCTTAAATTTTTGGAGCCATCTGTTGGAAAACTATAAATAAATAATAAAATAGTGATCAAACAAACATTATAATAAATTATTAAATATAAATTATTAAAAAAAAATGTTTAACTTGTAATGTTTCTTGAGGAACTTCTAGTTCATTGGCTAGTAATTTAGCCTTCTCAATTAATATAGCATCACTTAAAATTGTTTTATGCTGATAACATAAAACAAATTCTTTTAGGGCAAGTTCAAGTTCTGGGACAGCAACAGGTTTATGACGTTTTGCTTCTGGATTTGCAAGTTCTGTGGTAAGTCGTTTCTCTTTACTTTGCAAGGTTCTTGTAATTGTAGATTCATTAACTCTGACCTCCCACTTTTGTTCAACCCAGTCCATATACTGAGTTCGAGTTTTCTTGTTATCACGAGCATAAAGACAAAGCTCATATTTCTGAATATCTGATAAAGAAATGTTTTTTTTAGGCATAGTGAGAATGCGAGATGTTAATCAAACTGTGCGTACTGTGCGTACTGCGCGCACTGCATGTTATTATATAAGTTCAGAAGGTTCAGAAAGTCACGTGCGTGCATTTATGGAGAATAGGACAATATAATCGTACTAAAAAATCATTGCACGTGTAGAGTACGGAGGGTGTGCAATTATAGAGAGTTGACTGTACTAGTTAATGTTTCGTTAAAATAAAAAAAAAATTTTTAAAAAATAACTTTTACCAGTTACTGCAAGAAAATCTGAAAGAACTGCCTAAAAAAAAGTAACGAACTATTAGAGACCATTCGTTAAAAGATGGAAGAAATAGACAAAAAAAACTTAAACTTACTGCTGTCTAAAAAAACAAAGAAAATGATTTAGAAACTGCTCGTTAGAAGAAATAGTTAAATCTAAAAAAATAAAAATAAAAACTTACCGGAATCTGACTGCCGAGTGTTGACTAAAAAAAAAATAGCAAAATATTACTCAACGTTGCGTTATAGATTTTGTAGAGAGAGGAAAAGAATGGGTGAAGATAAAGGACGGGGAAAGGAAAAGCAAGAAGGGAAGGGTGATAAGGATGAAGGAAAGACTAAAAATTTAGATGACGGGAGTGAAAGTTTAATAAAAAAAAAGATCAGCTGGTAAGATTATCAGCTGGTAATATTATCACGTAATACACATGATACAATATTAATTTTATTTTATTTTTCCCAGTTCTTGTCTATATTATAAAAATAAAATAAAAATTCTTGGATTTCTTAAAGATTTTTGTTTAGGAATCTTTAAGAATCCACCAATTCATAGAATCCTTAAGGATCTTTATGATTTATCTAAGGATTTTTAAGAATTCTATAAATTGCAAGATCCTTAAGGATTCTGGGACAATTTAAGGAATCCTTAAGTATCTATGGTCCAAAAAATTTACTGATGCTTTAATAAAACTACATGTATAAAGTTATATTAAAAAATCTGAATCTAGATTTGAGTTTTATATATAATGTTTGGGGTTTTGTTTTAGCTGATATTAGATCGATACTAAAAAAAATTAGAAGTATTTTGAGAAATTCTGTACAGAATAATCAGTGGAGTCTAATTTTAAGAGTGTAATAGTTGTAGATAGAGTGGTTTTGTTACTGACTGTTTTTCTTTATTTTTATTTTTATTTTTGTTTTTATTTTATTTTTTTAGTACAAAATATCATTTGATACAAGTGCATCTGGAGATTTTTATTGCATAGCGGGAGTGGAGAGTTTTTTCATATTTGTAATATTGTACAATTTCAAATTTTAATAAAACCTGGCCCAAGTATACTATAAATAAAAAAAAAAAAAATCTTTAAAAAATCTCTTTTTTAATAAAAAAAATATTCATTTAGATGTTTTATATATAAATATACTAAATTTGAAAGTACAGTGTATAACAAAAAAAAACTGGAATATCATTCATGTAATAAAAATATGTATTATATACTCAAAATAAATCTGATTTTCTTTGTATAAATTGGATAATAAATCTATAACCAAGATCTATATTATGATATCTTTTAAAGTTATAATTGCTTCATTATTTTTTTGAAAAATTTTACTGTAAAATATTTACTTTGAACAGAAAAATATAATAAAAAAATAAATTAAGATTACAAAGCATTTGAATATTGAATTTAAATTAAAAATATTCAAATATTGTTAAGAATAATGTACAAAATGCATGTAGTTCACTCAGAATAAATCCAATTTTAAATGCAAAATAAACTTGAATATCAGGACTACATTTTGATATCTTTCATGATCATAATGCTTTTTTACTTCTTGAGAAAATTAACTACAGGTGTTGATTTTTAAAGAAAAAATATAATTTGAAATTTGTGAATTTATAATGAATACAAAGTTATTGAAAATTTCTCAAATATTATCAAAACTAATAGAAAAGTATAAATTAAAAAATTTTTTTTGACTATCTACTGCATTTTATACAATGAAATACACATTAATTCTAAATTAATTATAAAAAAGTTTTAATCTAAAAAAATTATTATTATAAGCTTAATTATAAAGAAATTACTGCATTAAACACCATTTTAATTTACTATTGATAAAATCTACAGGTTTTCAGCTTTCGAATAAGCTATTTTACATATAATTTGATGCGATCATTATGGTGTTACAGATAATTTTTTAATTCCAATTTTTTTTGTTACACACTGTATATTATTATATATTGTGCATATTAGCATATTAAAATATTAGTTTATTTATTTTTATTTTGCCTATTAACTTTTATTTAAAGTAAACTTTAATATTACTTTAAATATGTTAAATAATGATTCAAATAATTACTGTAATTTAATTCAGCCTAACTGGTTTAAATTACAGTAATTATTTAAATTCTGCCAAAACTTTAAATATGATTATATCAACTATTTATTTTATATCATTTTTGTTTGTATAGATTAAATTTTTAATACTATTAGATATAAGTGTAACTTTATATAAATACAAAGTTTTTGTACTAATTAATTTAATAGATAGTATTACATCAATTATCACAATAAACTTTCTTTATAATATATTTAGAATCCTATTCTACCTCTTTAATCCTTAACAGTTTAGTAATTTAGTATCAAATTATTAATGGATTTTTTCTATTTTTAATTATAATTGCTATATCAAATAATTAAGATATAATACCTATTAAGTATAAATAAAAATTTTTTATTTAAATTAGAAAAAAATATTTATTGTTATATTTTTAGCAAATGCTTTTATTTTCAATAAAAAAATAAAATAATATAATATATTTTAATATTATTTAAAGTTGCTGGAGAAATTAGAGAGTTTTAGCAAGTTAGCAAAATGCTAAAATAGCAAAACTTTGCCAAAACTATATGAAAGTCCTATTAAAAAGTTAGCAAAACTCTAGAAAAAAGCAAAATTTAACAAAACTTATTATAAATGCTAAAATTGCCAAAACCTTGTTAAAACTATAATAAAACTATAATAAAACCTTGGTGAAATTAATCATAGGATTTTGGAAAGGTTTAGGCAAGTAACCTCAATATTATCTGATTATTTTAAAGTGAAAAAATGTTAATTTACTTAAATATTTGATAAAATAAATTCTATAAAGCTATAATATATAAATTATTTTTAAATTATTTAATAAGTTTTTTATATTAATTTCATATTATTTATTATATTATTTATTTAATAAATAAAATTTTCTTTTCATAAATTTTATTTAAATAAATTTATCAGAAATTATTTATTAATATTTGCAAAAAAAAACCAAAATAAAAAAAACAAAATAAATAATAAAAAAAATAACATTTAAAAATTTCAAAATAAAATTTAAAGCCAATAAAGCAATAATTATATTAAAGGTTTTTTTACAAATATTATTTATAAAAGAAAGACAAAAAATATAAACAATGCAAAAATACATATAGTAAATAACTTTACTTTTAATGAAAACTAAATCAACTTACAACTAATATAAATAAGTAATAAAATAGAATTCACAACATACAGTATAAAGTATATTGCTATATTATTTGAGTTTAATGAAATATTAAAAGTAAATTAATTTAGGATTTAAAATTGAATTTAGTAATTTGTTATAAAAACAGAAAAATTTGATAAAATTTTTTTATTATATTTATTGGTTAGGTCAGTTACAATTAATTAAAAAAAATTTTTTGAAATATTACATTAGCACAAAAAAAATAAAGGAAATAATAATGTGAGTAATAAAAATATATTGTTATTGTTAATATAAAAAAGATTCTAAATAGCTAGCTATAGATTTTACAAACAAGATCAATCGGTCAAATGAGTAATAATGATTTTATAGTTAAACGAAAAACATCATCTCTAACTTTATAACTACAAAATATAATCTAATCCAACATTTACCATTGCGTTACTAGTCAAAGATCTCCTTTTTCCTACACGCTTTAGATAACTATCCAAATACTGTAAGTAATACTTTTTACCTTGTATAGTACATTAATCATAACACTCACCTCAATAAATAAATTAAACTCAAATTTAAAATAAAAAAAGAATAAAAATTATATAGTTTATAGTATAATAGTTATTAACAAATTCGGAGGTAAGCCTAAATACACTTCAAATACCCATAACCTTTGTAAATATAAAATAGGAGTAAAAAAAGGTGGAGCACCTGTCCCCAAAATCTTACAAATTTTTTTTTTTTTTAATAAAAACTATTAAACGACTATAAAAGGCTCCTGTCCTTTGGAAAAAAGGTCTAAATGTACAGGACTATAAAAAATTATTATTATTATTAATTTTTTTTTTTTTTTGAATTGGGGAAAGGGAAAGAAAAAAATTATTCACAAGAAAAAGTATATAAATGATGCCCGGCATTTGGTATTCCTCAGAAACAAAAAAAAAACAGTGAAGATATCAAATAATGAATGTTTATAAAAAAGAAAAAAAAAAAAGAATTGGCATAACCAGCACTAAATAATTTTATGAGCCATTTTCAGTCTATAATTAAATAAATGATTAAATTTCGATCATATAATTTCAAACTAAAGTAAGGAATTATTAAGTCGTTACCATGGCTTTTTTGACTTTCTCAAATTCTTTCAACATCTTACGTCTAGCTCCAAGGGCCGCTACTCCTTTTTTTTCTAGTTGAGAATCATCTAATTCGATAATTTCTGTGTAATTCATTCCTTCAAATACCGGAGTATACTTGTGTAAACGAAGACTTCGTAACCATTGCGGAATGTCTAAATAAACAGAAATAAATAAGTTTAAACTCTCATAAGTGCATTAAAAAACTAAATGTGTGAATAAAAGGATAACCTTGTAATAGATTAAAATCAACTGTATCATCATTTTGTTTCTTCTTGTTTTTACCACCGCCAGTGTTACCATGACCTTTTGTATTATTAGCATTATGTGAGGCATCACTATGATCACTGTGATAACCGCCTACTTCACCATTCTCATCATATGGAACTACACTTGGTAGTGTTAAGTGGGTTCCTTTACCACTGTTATTTGGAGGTCCCCAACCAGGATGATGAATAGGATACAAACCACCAGATGGATTTGGATTCGGCGAAGTAGGGCGAGAACCCTGTCTTGATCCGATAGCTTTTGGACTCGGAAGAGGAGAATGTTGGGGTGAACGAACATTTCCGTCAGCGTCATACATCGACAAGACGATATTCGCTGTATTATATTTCTCTTCTTGGACTGTTGCTGGAACACCAGAATTGTTATTTTTTCCATGATTTCGACGGAATTTTTTAACATCACTTTCTAATACAACACGATTTCCAGAACTATTACTGATACTCCAATTGTTTAATTTTTTATTTACCAACTCAACATCAGTAGCTGGCTTATTTTTATTTTCTGCAAACATTGGTACCACGGGCGTAGACACCATACTAGCCCAACTACCACCAACAAGAGGAGATAGCTCGCCATCAAATGCAGTGCCAGGTCGAGGTGAACGTAATGGGAAACCCGGAGTCCAAGGGAGAGCGCTAAGATCAGCTGATTTCGGTCGACCGTTACTTGTTCGGTCTTTATTATTATTGTTATTATTGCTATTGCTAGAAGCGCTAGTAGGAGCCCAGACCGTTTGATCCGTTTCTGAAGCCATAGATTTTGGACGTGATGGATACAAAGAAGCCGATCGATTACCCGTATTGGCTTGAAGTCTAGCTCTTTGTTGTGCAAGAGCAGCTGCAGGATCCGAATAAATTGCAGCCTCGGGAGACAAGAATTCTACGCCCGAGTGTCGATCATATAAGCGACGTGGATACGTCGGACTAGTAGGTGATTTAAGAGACATGCCAGCTAGTTTGGCCTCAACCTCAGCTTTGGCCATAGCGCCAGCTAATTGTGCCTGCATTAAATCTAGTGATTATAATTAAAAAAACCAAAATAAGTAAATCACGCGTAATTTTCATTACTAACAATTTTAAAAACGATTATATGATAACGCATTTAAAATTAATAAATATCAATTGATAGATAATAACTTCAAAAACAGAAAAATTATTTGTAGAGATCATCGTTAAGAAAACAATTTAGATCTAATCTCACCTTTTTCAGGATTTGCTGGCGATAGGAGAGCTCCCATCGGATCGCTTCTTGCCATTTGCTGAAGTACCGTTATGAAAAATCGTATCTGTACCTGAGTTGAATGTTGTAATAAACTATATAATGCGGCAGTTCGTTCCGCTTCAGATAATACTCGAAACCATTGTTCAATTGCACTGAGTTCTTCTTTGAAGTTTTGATCTAAACTCGCTGTAGCCATCTCTTCAAGCGTTTGTTCGTAATGTTGGAGGTCTTCAAACCATTTATCGATTGCTTCAGCTTAAAAAACGAAATTTTGAGATGAATTCTTATTCGAAATAAAAATTTATAAATTATTTTCTTTCCCACAGGAGTTAGTTAAAATATTTTATATTTTACAAAAGTAAAATCTCTCTTGGCGGGAATATAGGAACAACCTTTCTTCTTACCTTCAGGTGATTGATATGTATTGTGGTTATTTGCGGAGAATATTTCGGAAGTTGGCCTTGAGCTCCTATGACTTGTCTGTTGCTGGTTCAAGTGAGATAGGTCAGCCGATTGTCGATACTGTGAGTTAGATCCCGATTTTGCTGGTTGAAGGTTAAATTGTTCGCTAACAGGGCGTTGTGTAGTCATGATGGAAACGAAGCTGATGAATATTGTCTTTGAGAAAGTTAGTTGAACTTATTAAGATGGCCTCTAAATAAAATTGTTGAAAGATCGGTGACAGGGCTTTCTTAAAAGAGGAAGAGAGTGAGTGGAAAAAATATAGAGGTGGGTAGGAAGGGTATGGGAAGGAAATACCTCTTTTGTCACCTTAAACTTTATTGAATGAACTTATAGCGAAAACTTTCTACAAGAAAAAGAAATCCGGATAAAAATTGTAACTATAAGCAACGTATAGATGAGCATAGAAATTCATTTGACGTCTCAAACTGCGGTAATTCAGTGGCCGATCTATTATACATCTGCTATTAATAGAGATCATACCTTCTTATATTATTTCCTATGATAGAATTATTTTTAACAAAAACTAATAGATTCTCGGATAAACAAAGAATTGGCGAATTTATAATGCTAAGCCGCAGTCATTTTTTGGCGCCACCAATTTATCTGTGTTATACATATGAAACTTTTCAGTTCACAAGTTTTAACAAAATAACAAGGAAAATATCAAGTAATAATGGCTTGGAATTAAAACAAAGACTAATTTTTTAAAGACGTTGCTGATCGTTCACTCGGTAGTACAAATGATAAAAATTTGCTCACCTACAAATATTATCTAATAATTGGGTTAAGTAATATTTAAATTTACCTCGATAAATTGATATACTGTGATTAAATATAAGTTATTATGCTAACTGCTAACTACAATCAAAAGTTTTAATCTAAACTATAAATAGTTAGAAAATAATTTCTTATTAAATATTACTGATTAATTTTATATTCATTAAAAATACAGTAATAAAATTTTACATTTATTTATTTGTTTTATTAAAACATTATAATTTATTACTAAGGGAGAAAGTTATATAAGAGGTATAATATATAGTGGTTACAGTAAAGTCATAAGTAAAAGGACTTAGTGTATTAGAATATAAAACTCAAATAAAAATCCATATTATACTTAATATATATAATAATAAATAAAAAAAAAATCAGATTTTTAATATATTAAACATTTACAGTATTATTTAAATAATACAAAGTTTAAATGTTTCAATTTGATTAAACTTTATAATATTAATGCTTTAACTAGAAATATCTACAGGTAGTGCCTCGACCCGTATCCGGATCAATCCGGATTGATCCGGATTTTTTTTTTTTTCGGATATCCGGATTTTCACGGTTTTCATCCGGATTATAAACCGGATGAAAAATATCCGGTTTGACC